GGAAGGGGAGGGAGGGACCGGGGGAGACCGGACACAAGAAGACGGGAGGCCATACCTCTGAGCCGAAGCAGAGAGGGGTGGCCAAGGCGGTGGTGCCAGAGGAGAGTCTCGTGAGACAGGAGACGACACGAACAGGGGGCAGACTCAGGACCAGACCTGGACGCCGCAGCAAACACCTGACCCGACGTAACTACCCTACCAGACTCAGCAACTGGAGGAGACGCAGTGGTCAGAGTGTACAGGCTCGACCCCGGCTGACGGGTGAACGTAGCCAGGTGTCGGCCTGTGCCAGCCTCTGTACAGTGGGTCACTCTCTGACGTGCAGGAGTGAACTGGTGGACCCCCGCATCCTGTAGGTCAGCACCACTCACCAGGTTCGTAGAGAACGAGGGGAGGTAGAGACCAGACAGGGTGCCAGAGGGAGCCGCCGGACACGGGAGGACTGTGGAGAAGCGAGACAGGACAGGACCCCCAGAGGGGTCAGCCAGAGACACTGCAACCGGTCGACTCAGCGGTGTGAGTGTGGTGCGGTCCCGAAAGAAGGAGCGAGACGCCCCAGAGTCAAGGGTGAAGGTGAGGGAGGCCGAAGCCGACGCAGTACCTGAGAGCGCAGACTCACCAGTACCTGAGGACGCAGACACACGAGCACCTAGAGCAGCAGCGTCGCAAGCACCTAGGGCAGCAGCCTCACCAGGACCTAGAGCAGCAGTCTCAATGCCCGGATCGGGCGGGAAACACCGGTAACAGTCACCCTCATCACTAATAGACACAGCATACATGGCAGAGAGAATAGCATCAAAGTCAAGATCATAGATGGCAACACCCGCCCTAGACAGCTCGCCCCAGCGAGGGATCTCGGAGGCCTCCGGGAACTGGTGACGCCACGCGTCCGTCAGGCGGCCAAAGCAGCGCTGGGTGGGGTGGGCACCCCCACACTGCTCACCCGCACGGTCGCCAGTGCGCAAAACGTAGGAGCACGGACCAAAACCCCCACCCCGCTGACGCGCAGTGTACCACTCACGAAGCTGCTGAGGGGACAGGGTGTCACGACCACGCTGCTGCTGCTGGCGCGAGCCACCACCGGAGCCACTCCTCTGCGAAGACCCGCGACCAGCACCACCGCCACCCCCGCCGCCTCCGACGCCTCCGCCGCCTCCGCTACTGCCGCCGCCTCCGCCTCCGCCGCCGCCTCCACCTCCGCCACCTCCGCCACCTCCGCTCCCACCGCCACCGCCGCCGACACCTCCACCTCCACTGCCGCCACCGACCCCTCCACCCCCACCTCCACTCCCACCGCCACCCCCACTCCCCCAACTGCCGCCACCTCCACCTCCACCGCCCCCGCTCGCTCCTCCAGCGCCCTTGCCCCCCTTGCCCTTGCCAGAGCGGCGTCTCCCGCTAGGGGCAGACGCCGCACCGACCGACTCAAGAACAAGGAGGTCGGCCGCAGCAGCAGAGGCAACAGAGGGCAGAAGGGGGGAGGGGGAACACCCCTCAAAGATGGGGGTGCGCGGGTCACCACGAGAGGCCCCTACAGCGACTATGCTCTTCTCGGCCGCTAGGAGGGACTTCTCGAGGAGGTCAACAGTGAGAGTGGTGGGACAGACAGAGAGAAAGTGGTCCCTGACTACGCGAAGGGAGTCAGGAAGGCGAGTGACTATGTAGTAAAGAGTGATGTACATGGGGGGGGGGTTCCTGGCGCAGGAGTCAGGAGGGAGTGCAGCGCGGTAGCGAGTGTCACTAGTGCGGAGGTGCGTAATGAGGTCAGTGACTGTGGGAAAGGCAGTAAGATCAGGAAAGAGGTACGGTAGCATGAGACGGCTCAGTGCAGCAGTGGCAGGGGAGGAGTAGCGCGCAACTACAGCGTCGTACAAGGTCTGAGCACTCTTGTACTGACTAAAGTGCGCACGCTCGGAGGTAGGGAGGTGGCGACGCACAGCAAGACGTGCAGCAGCGTCGCGCGTGGCCCACTGGGAGCGAACAGTGGCGTCAGCATCAGCAGCAGGGGCAGTGGAGGTGCCAGAGGTGAGGTCAAAGAGAGAGAGGCCGTCTGCCCTATCGCACTGTAAGAACAGCTGCAGGTCATCTACCCAGACCTCAAAGTCAATGGCCCTACCCTCAGCGTCAAAGGCGAGAACACTAGGGGTAGCCATGACCCTAGACGACTAGCAGCGCAAACAGTGGGGTGAGGACAGTGCAGTGAAAAGGCGCTGTGCTCACCAGACTGGGCAGGTCGGGCGGCCCTGAAGGAGGGCGGCGCGGCGGCTCGGCGGCTCAGCTGCTGGGCGGCCCGGCGGCTCGGCGGCTCCGCTGCTGGGCGGCTCGGCTGCTGGGCGGCTCGGCTGCTGGGCGGCGCGGCCGCTGGGCGGCTCGGCTGCTGGGCGGCTCGGCTGCTGGGCAGCTCGGCTGCTGGGCGGCTCGGCGGCTCGGCTGCTGGGCGGCTCGGCTGCTGGGCGGCTCGGCTGTGCTGCTGCAGGGCACGGGGCCGCAGGTAAGGGCGGCGGGGCCGCTGGTAAGGGCGGCGTGGCCGCGGGTAGGGTGGCGGGGCCGCAGATAGGGTGGCGGGGCCGCAGCAGAGGGCGGCGGGGCCGCAGGTAAGGTGGCGGGGCCGCAGGTAAGGTGGCGGGGCCGCAGGTAAGGTGGCGGGGCCGCAGCAGAGGGCGGCGGGGCCGCAGGTAAGGGCGGGGCCGCAGGTAAGGTGGCGGGGCCGCGAGGAAGGGCGGCGGGGCCGCTAGGTAGGGCGGCGGGGCCGCGCGATGGGGCGGCGGGGCCGTGCGATGGGGCGGCGGGGCCGCGCGATGGGGTGGCGGGGCCGCGAGGAAGGGCGGCGGGGCCGCGCGATGGGGCGGCGGGGCCGCGCGATGGGGCGGCGGGGCCGCGCGATGGGGCGGCGGGGCCGCGATGGGGCGGCGGGGCCGCTAGGTAGGGCGGCGGGGCCGCGCAATGGGGCGGCGAGGCCGCGAGGTAGGGCGGCGGGGCCGCTAGGTAGGGCGGCGGGGCCGCTAGGAGAGAGGCGGCGGGGCCGCGTTGCAGGGCCGCTAGGGCGGCTCGACGAAGTGAGGGCCCGGAGCGCGACTCGGGCTGAGCGCGCTTCGGGCAGGAAAAAAAAATCGATGTGGTGGGCCCTAAGCACAGTTCCCAAGGGGGAACCTGCTCGATACCATGAGAAGATTTGAACAAGAATGGATGAACTATGAAATGAAGTGAGTACAAATATGAAACCCTAATTGGTTGTACCCCCTATGGGATACCCCACTATAGCCTACACAACAGCATAAGCTATAATGTTCTGACAGATGCTGCCAACCGTTCGCGACTCTTCACGTCATTACGACCTTTCGCCTTTGTACTCTTCATTGCGTTCTTCGCTTGCTAGTGATATGAGTGCAGAATACTTCATAATTTATTATTCGTAACAGTTAGTACGGCAAGGCAAGCCCTAGGTTTGCTCCACCTAGATTCTGGTACGGTAGACTCCAGCTTTGGGTAACCGAGCCTCACTTGTTTCAGTGAGGTTTAGGCAGTGTATGGGGAACATCGCGGGTGACATGCGTGCAAGAGGCAGGTTTGGTTTGGAGGTTTCTCAGGGGATCAAAGTGAGGTGCTGCCTCGCCCTAGGTTTTATGACGTGCCGAGCCAGCAGACTTCTGCGACGCGGAACCCTTGTAACGAGGTCCATACAAGCCGCGTGGTCTTTTATGGAAGCGTAGAAAAGGTGCGAGTAAAAAAGGTGAAATTGAAGAACGTCCCTTTCTTCAGTATACATTTGTTTTTGTTGTTCTCCTTCATTCGAATATCGGAACGGGTATGTCAAGAAGCAGCGATTCTAGAAGATCCGCTTGTGTCAGACCCAGTTTCTTGGAGGTCGTTCTAACATCGCACTTCGGTCCAGCAAGAGTGTTTTCTAGGGTGACTTGACTCTGCAGTTGAAAACGCACAAGACACTGCCCAAAGTCTTCGTGTTTTGAAAACGCATTTTGCTACATTCTTTCACCTGGTTGCTCGATGCAAGGGAAGGGGGTGTTAGGGAGGAGGAGGCCCAAACGCCCTAAACCCCAGACGAATAATAGTTTAAGGTTTTATCAGGGAGAAACACCCTAACGAGTCCATCCAAACCTCTCAAGGCCGACACCGCCTCGAATCTCCCTCGAGTCTCTCACCTCAACTCGCTCCAGCCCTCATCACCAACACCACCAGCCGCCACGCCTCTCTTCTTCACCTCTCACTTGACTTCGGTATCCATCACAGCCGCATTCACCTCCTTGCTGCGTGTGACACCAGGCTGCCTCCTCCCACACCGCGCTGCGTCACACCGGAGCGCGAGACGCTAACGTCGTGCTTGCTTCAAGTAAGCTAGTCGTCTCATACTCTTGCCAGCGAGCGCGCGTTGCTCCTGGTTCCTTCGGCATTCCGACCCACCACTTCTCAAGGCGCATTCATTAACCTTCCTGCTCATTCGCCTGCACATGCTTCTTAACACCGCACTGCGGTACCTCGTCCAACCAACCGCGGATTTCACGTAACTTTTCCCGAACCGCGTCTCTTATTGCCCGCATCATATCAAGACCTTGGTCACCTGTTGTCCGCAGACGCGACGAATCTCTGACCCGTATCTTGCGCCGGACTTCGCGGGGCAATCGCACTACTAATGCTGTCGCCGCGTAACGCATCGTTTTGATATTGATCACCTATTACTCCACGGGGTATCCAAGGTGTTGCCGAATCAGCTATCACGTCCCGTCCCTGAAGGGTTTTAGTTTATCATATTTCTGCTCCGGGTGACGCGGTTGTGCGTACTTTCCGCCGCCCGGGCCCCTTCGAATCCCCTATAAAAAAAAACGCGTCGATTCAGGCGCAGTCGGAATCTCTTGTACGAGCAGTAGTCGCATCATCAGCAGCAGCAGCAGCAGCAGCAGCAGCAGCAGCAGCAGCAGCAGCAGCAGCAGCAGCAGCAGCAGCAGCAGCAGCAGCATCTACTGTTCGAATCTAGTAGAGGCAACATGGCCAAGTCAGCGCAAGGGAAGGAGCTTCTAGAGCTCTACGACAAGCTGCAGACCGCAGCGGGAAAGGCGGCGGATTCGCCGGCGGACGAGGACCGCGCGCTGGATCTGCTCGCGCAAATGGCGGACTGCCACGTCAGCACGGAGATTCTCATGGAAACGCAGGTGCGATTGTCCTCGCTTCCCGCTTCAAAGATTGTTGTGTCCCCATTCCCAAAGCATGACTAGGGTGGGAAGGGGAGAAGCGGCTGTTGCGCGCCTAGGGTGCGCCGCGCCGCCGCACGGCCGTGCTATCGACGACAATGCGCGGATGGCGCTCACTCGCTTAGGCGGAAACGCGCTGAAGCGGAGACGCGCATAAGCGGAAAGACACTTCAGCGGAAGCACTTCAGTTTGGTCCGCCCATCCCACTGACCTCCCTGCGCTCGTGTGACCCCTTCCCTTCCGCCGTCTCCCATTTTCGCTCCTTCCGCCCTCCCCCCCCTGCCTTCCCGTTCCCTCCCCCCTCACCGTTTCCCCGTTCCGCAATGTCGCGCGCAGATGGGGAAGCTGATCCGCAAGCTGACGAAGCACACGTGCGCGGGGATTCAGAAGGGCGCGGGGAAGTTAGTGGAGCAGTGGAAACAGGTGGTTGCCGCAGAGGCGCGGGGCGGGGGAGGCGGGAAGGAGAAGGACCAGGAACGGGGGAGGAAAGAGGGGGAGCGGGAGGGGAAGAGGTCAGGAGAGTCGGAACGGGGATCTGATGGGGGGAAGGAGGGGGGGAAACCGGGGCGGGGCGGAGACGACGAGGACGGGAAAAGCGTGGGTAACGGGGGAAGCGGTGCGAACGGCGCAAACGGCGCGAGCGGGGGGAAGGAACGAGACGGAACGAAGGGGAACGCGGCGGAGAAAGCGAAAGGCGCAGGAGGCGCAGCAGCAGTGCCGTTCAAAACAAAGATGCTGATCAAAACAGGGGACGTGATGCGGGACCGGCCTAGGGAGGCAGTGCTGCAGGCGCTGTGCCTGGTAGCGGGGGAGGTGCAGGGGGAGGAGGAGGAGCGCGCTAGAGCCGTGGATGTCACTTCTGTGGCTATGGAGGTCGAGACTGAGCTGTGGCGCAAGTATGGCGCCACCAAGGACCTCAAGGTGCGGGGTGGCGGGAGGAGAGAGGGGTTAGGGAAAGAGTGTGGGTGAGCTGGGATGAGTTGGAGAGGGGTTAGGGGTTGGAGGGTCGGGGTTTTGAGGCGTGGGGGGGAGAGCCTAAGCCAGAAATCAGTGAGTTAAAGGGACGCTGGTTTGATGACTCTCCACATCCACCCCCCCCTTCCTCCTCCTCCTCCTCCTCCTCCTCCTCCTCCTCCTCCTCCTCCTCCTCCTCCTCCTCCTCCTCCTCCTCCTCCTCCTCCTTCTCATCCTCCTCCTCCTCCTCCTCCTCCTCCTCCTCCTCCTCCTCCTCCTCCTCCTCCTCCTCCTCCCCCTCCTCTTCCTCCTCTTCCCTCTCCACATCATCATCCTCTCTCCACATCCCCACGCCAGCCAACCTTTTTAGCCCCTCCCGCTCCTCCCCCCCTCCCCCCACCGCTCCATGCCAACCCGTGCAATCTCGCTCTCGCTCCTCGCTTTCACACTGCTCCCTGCAGTACAAGAGCAACCCACGGTTCTGTTCCGTCTCGTTCAGCATCCCAATCCCTCAGATTCAAGTCGTCTCAGCACTCAACTTATCAATGCGTCCCCTCACGACCCCTTCCAAAACTCCCCCTACCCTCTCCCCTCCCTCCCCTTCACCCACCAGGACTACAAGAACAAGTTCCAGTCCATCTCGTTCAACCCCAAGAGCCCCTGGAATCAAGGCAAAACAGAGCTCAACCTACCAATCCCCTGCTTCCCCCACAAAACCCCCGCTGCCCCCTCACCCCCTTCCCTTCCCCCCCACCAGGACTACAAGAACAAGTTCCGGTCCATCTCGTTCAACCTCAAAGACCCCTCGAACCCGGACCTGCGGCGGCGCGTGCTACTAGGCGACGTATCCGCGGTTGATCTAGCAGTGATGTCCCCCGAAGACATGGCGAGCGACTCTCGCAAGCGCGAGAACGAGGAGGTGAAGCGCAAGAAGACGTTTGAGGCGATGCGCGGGCAGACCATGGGCGCGACGACGGACATGTTCAAGTGCGGCAAGTGCAATCAGCGGAAGACCACGTACTTCCAGATGCAGACGCGCAGTGCTGATGAGCCCATGACCACGTATGTCACGTGCCTGGTGTGCCAGAACCGGTGGAAGTTCTGCTAGGGGGGACAGGGGTGAGGGTTGTGAACCAGTTTGGGGCGGGTATCCTGGTAGGTTCCGGGGGGGTTGCTTTGTGGAAAGCAAAGGGGAGGGACAGGGTGTAGGTGTGGGGTTGACTTTTGAGCTGACTCAAAAGTCAACTAGGGTGTATGTGTGTGGGAGGAGAGGGAGTGAGCAGTGGGGGATGAGGGTGTGTTGTGCGGTTGTTGACGGTTAGTGGGGAGACAGTGGGGATGAGGGTGGTGATGGATGTAACGAATCTGAGAGGATGGAGTGTGAGAGTGAGAGTGAGAGTGCAGAGTGTGCGTTTAGGGTTAGGTGCTGGTGCGGGTGCTGGGTACCGTCACTAGCAACAGCACCTTGGATCATGTGATGTGATGTGAGGTGATGTGCTGTGCTGTCATGTGGCATGTCTGGGGTGCATGCACAGAGTACGGCATGGCATGGTACCGGTACTCTTCTTGACTCTTTCTGCCATGTCGCCCCACCCATCCGAGTACGGTATGGGGGCTGCATCTGCCCCGTGATGGGGTCACTAAGTAGGTAGACTACACTGATGATAGCCTAACTCATACCGTACCATATACCGGTATCAGTACTATATTTACTACTGTGGTAGGGCCAGTTTGACAATTACCGTATGATGAATGGAATAAAGCACGGATGACTTGTAGATTTTGGATTTTTTACAGCCGCAGGCGGTCGCGATCTAAGCAGATTGAAGTGTGTGCTACTGGTTCCTCTGTGTTCTGTTCTTTGGATTACGTTACCGGTATACGGTTCAGACAGGTGTTAGTTTTTAGTGCCCTGAAGAGACTGGATGGATGGGAGTGAAACTCACGTGGGATGATATGGTCCTACTTGGAAGGTTGTATGAGTCTGTTGAGGGTTCCGTGGTGTTTTACCATTGAGTCACGTTCGGAAAACGTAACTGGGACTGTACCGTGAACTCAGGCTTACAGAACCGAATACTGCGTCGTACAGTTTACTGTTACTGATTTCCTTAAAGCCTACACCAAATTGTAACCCGATGTGAGTGAATGGTGGCATGACTCAATAGTGAAACATATGTACACCTACAGTATACGGTATGGTGAAACATATGTTCACAAAACCCTCCACCTTGTTGACAAAACTTGATCCGAGGGTAGCTGCTCTTGCTGCCATGGTGTGCTGTGAACCTTCCCTGCTCTTGCTGCCATGGTTTATTATACCCTCTCCCTGCTTCCCAGGCACCCCTGTCGTACACTGAGATACACAGTATCCTTTTTCACAAGAATATTGATATACATATAAACGAATAAGCAGAAACAGATGTTTACAGTTGTATGTCACCCAAACGGCCATGGCCCGCAAAGAGGCAACCACAGCTAAAATCACCCACCCAGCAGGAGGAAACCCGTCTACAGGTCAACAAATTGATTAACCCAATACCACCATCGCCTTGGAGAAGCTACATCGTTGCTGAAGCTTTCATCAAGGCGAGGTGCAAGGTGTTTCCAAGAATTTTACACAGCCTTGGAGAAGGCGGAGTAGCCACAGTCCGTGGCGAGCACTCCAGACGTCTCGTAGTCGGAGGACTTGCCGTCCAGGAAGCCCTGGCCGTTGTCGCCGTCGGCAGAGAAGGGAGTGCGCAGCAGCCGCGACAGCATGGCGTAGTCAATGGCACGCTCGGCGCGGCCCTCGCGGTACGTCTGCCCCATGATGCCGTGCACCGAGGGAGAGCGCGACACGTGCTTGAAGTTGACGTTCAAGTGCACCTGCGCGTCGTCGGGCGTTTGCAGCAGCGGGTGCGCGGGCCTCAGCTTGATGTCCATGGCCAGCTTGTCGCCGATGCGCAGCGAGTACGCGTCCACGTCGAAGAATCCGCCGCCCTCCTGCTCGTACCCCTTGAACACAAACGCCAGCCCGCCGTCCAGGTTGTACGACTCTCCGGGCTGCAACCACAGGCAGGGATCAAAGCAAAGATACCAAGGGTTAGTTAGGGCGGTGAGAAGGAACCGACAAATGGGACGAGCACCAATCAAGAAGGAAACAGGAGCCGAGGGAATGAAGGGCAAGCGCGCTGACCTCGAGGGAGGGGAGGACGCGGCCGTCGAACTCGATGAGCGAGAGGAAGCCGTTGTCGCGCTTGTCCGACTTGCCGTTGCGCGCCGCCAGGCGGAAAGAGTGCTCCACGCCGTCAACGCTCCACACGAAGCCCAGCTCGCGGATCCACGTGCGCACAGCCAGCCCGTTGCGCAGCAGAGACGCGCCGATGGTGCGCGTGTCGTAGTACCCGCGCATCTTCATGTTCACGTGCAGGCTCGAGTCCGTCAGCAGGCAGTACGACTTCTCCGGCGCGCCGTTGAACTCGAACCGCGTGCCGTGCGCGCCGCGGAAGTGAGGGTCGTGCTTCGTGTACGGGCACGGGCGGCCCAGAGTCGACGCGTTCACCAGCGTGCGCGTCGCGCCGTTCACAACCACCGTGCGCGTCTCGCAAGTGGGCTGCGCGTCCGTGGGCTTGTACAGGTAGCAGATACCGCAGTTGGAGCACGAGAGCGACGACGGGATGTAGTGCTGCCAGAAGGAGCACGCAGTCGAGTTGGTGCACGCCGCGCAGCACTGTCGGCGCAGAACGGCGTTTCCGAAGCACCGGGGAGTCGTGCCCGTCGCGCACCGCCCGCCGTTGGGGATGAAGTAGCGACCGTTCAAACCGCTGTTGTCCGTGCAGTTGTCCGTGCAGGGAATGTCCAGAGGAGCCGTGCACGTCGTCACGCCCGTCCCAGGGTACTTACCGTCGTTCCACAGAATGGTCGCGGTTGGGGTGGGAGGAGGGGGAGACGGGGGAGGAGGAGACGGAGGGGGCGGGGAAGGGGGAGGCGGGGGAGAGGGGGGAGGCGGCGGCGGCGGCTGTTTGACGGTGCAGGGTCGGCCGAGCCTGGAGACGTTGGCCTCTAGGCGGTTGATTCCGCCTGCGAAGATCATGGAGGTCTGGCACTTGGGCGCAGGGTCCGTGGGCTGGTAGAGGAAGCACACTCCGCAGTTGGTGCACTGGGTCGCTTCAGGGCTGCACGGACGGGCGTGGAGAGGAGCGGAAAGAGGTGGGAAAGAGTGGGAAGGAGGAGGGGGAAGGGATGGAAGGGTGGGGAGAGGGGTGGGAAGTAAGGGATAATGTGTCAGGGTTTGACGTGGGTGTCAGAGTACCAAGTACGAAACAAGGATAAGGGAGTAGAGAGTAGGAAAAAAGTGGAAAATGGGAGGTTTAGGGGGGCTGATAATCCGGGTAAAGGGCGAGGGGAGGGGACAAGGAGGCAAGGGGGAAAGTAGGCAAGGAGGGGGGTGCTCACGGGGGGAAGTGCTGCCAGAAGGTGCAGTTGACCATGTTGGCGCATGCGGTTGCGCAATCCGCCGACGTGATTCCCCCTCCCGCGCACACCGGCGCAACTGCGCCCGCGCATCGCCCGCCGTTAGGGATCTGCGGAAAGGGGGAAGAATGGGGGGAGAGCAAGGAGCGGGGTGTGGGAGGGGAGGGGAGGGGAGGGGTTGGTTACGGACGTCGGAAAGATGGAGAGGACGAGGACATTGCGCGGGGGAATGGGGGCGACAGAGAGGCGGCGAGTGGAATGGACGTTGACCCACGGGGAGTTTGAGAAACGTGAATGAAAGAAGGTCGGACGAAAATGGAGCGTGGGAAGCACCGCGGCCAGCGAAAAGCACCACACCCGCCATAGCAAGCAGCGCGCATGCGCTATAAATACGCAAGCGCGCAAGTGCGCAAGCGGGAAAGCGCGCAAGCACGTACCACGTATCGGCTGAGCCGGCCCGTGGAGGTCGTCGGCGCGTCGCTGCAAGTGACGTCGTTAGGCGGGCCGCAGTCGTTAAGTCCCACGGCGTGGTTATACTTGTCGTCGTTGAAAACCGCGCTGCCGAGAATCGAGGAGGAGGAGGTGGAGGAGGTGGAAGTCGAGGTGCTGCCGGTAGATGCTGCGGGTAGTCAAGAACACAGAGGGGATTTTGCGGGAGGTGGGACGGGGGGTGGGGGGAGAGGGGGATGAGGTAAGGGGGGTGGTGGGGTGGGAAGGGGAGGAGATCAGAGGAAAGTGGGAACGGGAGGGCAGGATGTGAAAGCATGAGCATTCAGGTCGTTTAGGCCAGCGGAAACATGGGACCAGGGTGAAATAGCAAGCAACAGCAGCAGATTGAAGAGGATACAGCAAGGGCCGTGGCGGCTTACTGTTGTTCGTATTCGTTGTCGACGTCACCGTCGCGGTAGACGACAGCCCCGTTGTAGTCACAGTCGTGATCATCGACGACGCCGCCCTATCCGCCGCGATTCGCGCTGCCGACGCCATGGACGTCGCCGCCTTTTCCGCCGCCTCTTTCTCCGCGGCGAGCTTGTCCGCCGATCTCTTCTGCTTACTCGCGTCGTTAAGATCTGCCTCCGCAACGGAAGCCTGCTTCAGCGATACCCTCTCCCTCGCCGTCGCATCCGCCGCCGCCTTATCCGCTGCAGCTTTATCTGCGGCGGTTGTAGAGAAGGCCGAGTTCGCAGACGCGAGGCTCGCGAGCGCCGTTTGCGACGCTGCGAACTTCGCATCGTAGTCCTTCTGTGCCGTCGCCAACGCGCCCGTGTTAGCTTTCGTCGGCGAACTCGCCGCCTTCTTTTTCGCGCTCTCGAGCGCCGCTTGCGCCTTGGCCGTCGCCTTGCCGGCCGCATCTGCCGCAGCTTTCGCCTTTTTCACAATGTCCGCGTTTTTCGCGAGTTCCGCCGCTTTCGCGTTCGCGTTCGCGATTGCGGCGATTTTCGCCTTCGTCGCAGCACTCGCCGCGTCTTTCGCCTGGGACAAAGCAGCCGCCTTGTTCTTAACGACCTCGGCTAGCTGCGCCACGGTTTTCTGTACCTGCAGCTTCTCCGCAGTGACTTTCGCGAGAGCGGCGTTTAATTGATCTATTCTGGCCTGTAGCGCCTTGGCTGCATCGTCCGCCATCTGTTGCGCTTGCTGCGACGCGTCGCCGCCTTGCGAGGGCATTGCAGCTCCCGAGACAAGCGACGGGACGAGTAGCAACGTGATGAGACAGCCAAGGGCCATGCCGGCCCTCGCGGGACGCAACATGAGGGCTGAGTCTAGTATCTAGTTTTTTCTATTCGAGTGCGCTATCTGTTCACGCTGCCTGCCGTCTACAATCGGTGGAAGATCCAAGACTTAAGCTGGTTAACCGCGAACGAAACCACGGAGATAGGAAATGCTTCTGACCAGGTTCGCGTAACATTGAAAGGTTACGATAACTGATTGACAATGAAGAAGTTAGGATACACGTACACTTATAACACAAGGTTGTGAGGGACTACGGATTTTAGCCTCTTGTTCACAGAGCTGGGACTTCGCTGCTAAGCCGAGGAGGGCCTACTTGGGTATGCACCCAACGTGGACGGACGAGTCACGACCCACGAGTGACGAAACAGTCGCCGTGAGGACAGATGTTGTTAGGTGTGAAGGAATTATCTGTCTGCTTGCAGCACTTCAGCACCCCGAAATGAAGGAATCGAGTGGAGTTGTCTAGTGCAGTGGAGCGGAGTGAAGTGGTTGCGCGGGATTGCAGGGAATGCGGTGGAGGATTCTCCCTTCCACCTGGAATTTGCGCCCGACGAAAAGGTGATGGGGGGACAGTGGGGAGCGGTGAAGGGGGGTGGGTGGGTGGGCATTGGTCGAGGGGAAGGGGGTCGCGCGCGCAAGGTAGACAAGGGGGTTAGGAAGCGTGCCTGGACAGTGGGTGTGGGGACGGGGAGGGGATTAGACTGAGGGGGAACGGATTATGGCAGATGGCGCAGCGGGCGATGAGCGCGCGGGTCTGGCAATTGGCAGAGCCAGAGGGGGTGTGTCTGGGTTCCGGGCGGCTGGAGAACCCCCTGAGGTAACGAATCCTGTCAGGTCAATACTGGTTGGCAGTCGTGGTGGGCAGGGGAGGAAAGAAACGCGCCAGCTCAGCACCCAGTCTGAACAGCGGATTCCAGGAGAGAACCAAGATGGGAAGCTGATGGGGGAAGGGGAGTCTATGGCCATGGCTTGAGATGGTAGGATAAACGAAATGCACGAGCCCCGTGACGAAAATCGCAATCACAAATATTTACACCTTCAAGAGAAGACCGGTGCACTTACCCTGAAGTCGCGAAACGATGAGAAAAGTACATGAGAGAGCACAACTAGCAGCGAGAAAATGTCAGCAAAGTTGACGACGTAACGATGTAACATCTGTTGAGGTGTGAGCAGAATTCCGCCTTGTTGAAGGTCGCGGGGAGGGTAAGTTCTGTTACAACCCAAGAAACCAAAGATGTTACAAGTGACTCGAAACGGATGGTCCAAATGGTTACCAACAGAAGCGACACAGCATTGCTGAACCAGCACGAGGAACGCGAAGGGCGATCTTCTTTCCGACAAAAAGCTTACCAGTCATCAAGAACGATGAAACGACAATATAATGTTGTTGACTCCTGAATGAAGAAATGATGGGCTCACCTGAAAAGCCGTTTGGACCACCATCTGCACACTTCCCCCAAGGTCTGTGAGAAAACTCTCCGGGCTTTGTTCTGATTGTGAATCTAGCGGGGCTGGTGAAGGCTGCTTCATCATTCCACACAAATTCTATCAAGGACAACACGAACGATCTGGTTTGTTGCTGCTTAACGGGTCAGGTGGTTTTTAGAAAATTCGTGTTCAACCAGCAGCAACGACAATAGGCTCTGCAGAATTCTCCTGTCAAATATATGCAAATAGACTTTACCCTAAAAATCCCGGAACATGAAGCATTATAGAATGGACAAGATGCCCGGAAGTTAAATCTTCCCGTTCCTTGGGCCATTACGAGAAAGTCTTTAGCTAAATGACGATGCTTGACGGAATGTTCGGCTTGCACCAGGTGTACACCGTAACAGCAAGTTTAATAATTAAAAAAAAAAATCTTTGCAGGAAACGTTCCGCTCGTGATTGTCAAGGAATTTCAGGATGTTTTGAAACTGGTCACCCAATGTCCTGCCCAGCAGCGCGACGGAGAGGTTGTTGGAACGCCACGCCACACCTCCCACGCCCTTCGACGTCCCAAACAGCAGCAATTTTAGGGAGGGTGTTCGAGACGCAGGATATCTCAGGTGCTCAGACACAACAGGGAGCAAGCAGCAAGCACAGCCCCCAACATCTGCCATCCAAACAACTTTAGTTTTAGTCCTCTCCCTTCTTCATCATTGTCAGATCGACCCCACCCCATCAAGGTTATCTAGCAGTAGTACGATACACCTGTTCAAAGGATTATAGTTCATCCTCTTCAGTGGAACAGACATACAGGTCATCCAATTGTATCACTATGGGTCCCAAGATTCTCTTGGTGTCTCTGGTGGTCTTACTTCTTAGTGGCGGGGCCCTAGCCGGCAAGAAACTTCTAACCACGTCAACCGTCGCTCCCACAAACGCTGATGTTCAGGCTCTGAAATCGAAGTCCCTTGCGATGCAGCAGCAGGCCTCTCAGAGGACTCAGGAGCGTATTAACGCTGAGCTGGCCGCTGGTGATGCTCAGAAGGCCAGCGACGATGCCAAGGCAGCGGTTAACTCCGCTAAGACGGGGGTGGCGAACGCTCAGACGGCTAAGAATGTCGCCTCGACGAACGCTGCCAACGCCGTGAAGAGCCTCCAGAAGGTCCAGCCTGCTTACGACGCGGCAGTGAAGAACGTGGCGGCCAAGCAGGCGTTGCTCGACACTGCCAAGGCCAAGTACGATGCCGAGGTGAAGAAGGGCGCGACCCTCACGGGTACTGCAAAGACGAAGCAGGACGCTGTTATCAAGACGGCCCTGACGGCTCAGAACACCGCGCAAACCAACTACAACAAAGCTGTGGCTGACGCCAAGGCTCCTACCGACGCGTACACCCCAGTGAAGAAGGCCAAGGATGATGCCGACGCGGCGCTGGCGGCAAAGACGGCCGACCTTTCGGCGGCCCAGCAGAAGCAGATGGATCTGGAGCTGAAGCTGTCCGATGCGGATCAGAAGGTGGTGGATGCCAACAAGAAGGTGGCCGACGCTAAGGCCGCGGAGACCCAGGCTTACCAGTGGGCTTCCAAGGCCAACGATGACTACACGACTGCTTACAAGGCGTACACGACTGCGCAGTCGGCCACTTCCACGACGACAACTACCACGACGACTACTTCCCCAACCACCACCTCGTCTACGAGTACGTAGGCCCGCTCATAAATGTCTTGGTCTGACTTGTTGTTCCTAGTGTGCCTGCGCTTTGGTTGTGTTGCATCAATCTCACGCTGCTGTCTTTCGTTTGTTCCCAACAGTTCTGTGGAACGACGGCAAGTACCCTACTACGGGCGTGACGACGTGCACGGCTCCTCTGGACATTCCCTGCACGGACAACTGCACGGACAACAGCGGTCTGAACGGTCGCTACGTGATCCCCAACGGCGGGCGGTGCGCGACGGGCACGACTCCCCGGTGCTTCGGAAACGCCGTTCTGCGTCGACAGTGCTGCGCGGCGTGCACCAACTCGACTGCGTGCTCCTTCTGGCAGCACTACATCCCGTCGTCGCTCTCATGCTCCAACTGCGGTATCTGCTACCTGTACAAGCCCACGGACGCGCAGCCCACTTGCGAGACGCGCACGGTGGTTGTTGGCGGCACGACCCGCACGTTTGTGAACGCGTCGACTCTGGGCCGCCCGTGCCCGTACACGAAGCACGACCCTCACTTCCGCGGCGCGCACGGCACGCGGTTCGAGTTCAACGGCGCGCCGGAGAAGTCGTACTGCCTGCTGACGGACTCGAGCCTGCACGTGAACATGAAGATGCGCGGGTACTACGACACGCGCACCATCGGCGCGTCTCTGCTGCGCAACGGGCTGGCTGTGCGCACGTGGATCCGCGAGCTGGGCTTCGTGTGGAGCGTTGACGGCGTGGAGCACTCTTTCCGCCTGGCGGCGCGCAACGGCAAGTCGGACAAGCGCGACAACGGCTTTCTCTCGCTCATCGAGTTCGACGGCCGCGTCCTCCCCTCCCTCGAGGTGAGCTCACTTGCTTTGCCCTCTCGTCCCCTTTCTCGCCCATGTCGGTATGTGCTTAGTTTTCTTGAAGCTTGTTCACCGTTTACCCGATCAAGCTGGACTCTGCCTTACTCTTTAACTCTGCTTTTATTTGCAGCCCGGCGAGTCGTACAACCTGGACGGCGGGCTGGCGTTTGTGTTCAAGGGGTACGAGCAAGAGGGCGGCGGATTCTTCGACGTGGACGCGTACTCGCTGCGCATCGGCGACAAGCTGGCCATGGACATCAAGCTGAGGCCCGCGCACCCGCTGCTGCAAACGCCCGACGACGCGCAGGTGCACTTGAACGTCAACTTCAAGCACGTGTCGCGCTCTCCCTCGGTGCACGGCATCATGGGGCAGACGTACCGCGAGGGCCGCGCCGAGCGTGCCATTGACTACGCCATGCTGTCGCGGCTGCTGCGCACTCCCTTCTCTGCCGACGGCGACAACGGCCAGGGCTTCCTGGACGGCAAGTCCGCCGACTACGAGACGTCTGGAGTGCTCGCCACGGACTGTGGCTACTCCGCTTTCTCCAAGGCCATGTAAACTCGCACCTCGCTCGAGGCATGAAAGCTTCTAGAACGATGAAGCTTGCTCCTTGTAATTGTACTATGTATGCTTGTTTGAAGCTGCCTTTATTTGTTTTCTCGTGTCCACATCCTAAATGTCGAGAAATAATTATGCGCCTTTCGTGTGCTGGAATGTGCGGCGTACAGTTTCGTAGCTACTCTCACGTTTGATTTGATACTTGTTTCACCCGTATCGTTGGCGGGCTGTTTCCCCGCCAAGTGTTTTGAGCCCAGACTCGATTCTACGATAGGATGTCTGCAATGTAGCACAGAATCTTGGCTGCTGCCCAAGAGCACACAGCACGCCATGGGCGCGCACGGCAGCATCTGCAATGTACCAGGCAGCAAGGGTGCACTTTGAGGGGGGTGGAGGCAAAGGTTTTATCACTTGCCTCCACGTTGTTACCCTGTTTGTCTTGGGAGTCCGAGCGAACCACGCTTTAGTGTTGGCGGACTTGCGCGGGTTGTTTCTCCCCCGTCGTCAATTGTGACGGGCCCACTGGGGGTTGGGAACTTGAGTCACAACTAGGCAGTTTGTGAACCATTATGCTCTCGACTCTCGTACAGTACCACAACACACTGCAAGCAGGAATAGCTTTGCAACCACAACCCCAGCGCGCCGCCATCATCAGAGCACTAGTGCAGGCAAACGATAAACGTGACAGCTAGAGTAGCACACCGTCTACTAATGGCGGAACTTAGGGTTACGGCCAGCGAACTCATCGCGCCCGCCCCGTGTTTATCTCGACCGCACTGGATGCATTTTACGCCCGCGACATCGCAAGGGAAATTAGGCGCGAATTACGCCGCGACGGCGCACGCAGCACATGCCTTTCGTATCGAGCGGACGACTACATCGCACCCAAATCGCCGATGACACGTGCTGGAATCGACTGCTATCCCCGCCTCCCACTACGCAGCCCACTCCGCGCGAACCAGGTCCAAACGCCATGCCGCTTCCTATCCAGAGCTAACCCCGCATTCGCCTTAGGGTTGCACAATGCTCTGCACACCAATGTTCGGGAGGAAATAGCACTCACACCACTACTCCGCCTTATAAACGCGACGTGAAGACGGAAGGTGATCTCTTCCGTCTGCGTGTCGCGAGTAGTGGTTAACTTTCGTCCCCGCTGCCCATTCGCCGTTTTCTCGCTTAATCGCCTCTGCAACCTATTCCCCTCTCTCCCTTGCTCCGCGCTCTGCTCGACATGCGCTCTGTCCACTCCCGTGACGATCTCCCCCCGGCGTCGCGTGCGCCCCTCCCCCCGGCGTCGCGTGCGCCCTTCCCCCCGGCGTCGCGTGCGCCCTTCCCCTCGGCGTCGAGTGCGCCCTTCCCCCCGGCGTCGCGTGCGCCCTTCCCCCCGGCGTTGCGTGCGCCCTTCATCTCGGCGTCGTGGTGTTGAGGTGTAACATCACATTTTACATCGCTGATTGATGCACATTTGGATACACGCCTCCCTTCCTCCACACAGCCTCTCTACACGCTCGGCCATACGCCCGTCCGTACGTACGCCCGCCTCTGACTCTCCCTTACTCCCTTCGGCTATACCCCGTTTCCCCCCTTACTCCCCTCTCTAATGCCCCTTTCTCCCCCCTACCCCTCGGCTATACCCCTCAGGAACCCCTCACCCTTTCCCCTCTCCCCTCCCGCGCTCAACCCCCACCTGCCCCTGCAGACTGCAGCGGTGCAAGGACAGCATGCTGCAGCGCAAGCTAGTTTAGGGACATCTTGATATCCCCGCCTTCCCCCCTCACTGCCCTTTCCCCTCCGTGTCCCCCTTCCCCACCCCCCAGGTGTGTGAGGACCGTGTGCCGGCAGACTGCATGGTGCTGCGCAAGCTGGCGCAGGCCATGCGCGGGTGGCCGCGCCTGCGGGATAGTGAGGTGGAGTGGGGGAGAAGGGGGAGAAGGGGGGTGGGGAAGGGTGAGGAGGGAAAGTGGGAGAAGGGGGAAATGGGGAAGAGGGGAAGTGGGAGGAGGGGGAACGGGGTAAGGTGAGGTCTACGGAACAAAAAGTGGGGTTTTTCTCCTCTGTTTCTGTTACCCCTCTCCCCCACTCCTCTCCCCCACCCCTCTCCCATACACCTCCTGCTCCCTCACCTCTCTCCCCCACCTTCCCCTCCACCCCTCTCTCCCACCCTTCTCTCCCTGCCCCTCTTTTTCACCCTTCTCTCCCTGCCCCTCTTTTTCACCCTTCTCTCCCTGCCCCTCTTTTTCACCCTTCTCTCCCTGCCCCTCTTTTTCACCCTTCTCTCCCTGCCCCTCTTTTTCACCCTTCTCTCCCTGCCCCTCTTTTTCACCCTTCTCTCCCTGCCCCTCTTTTTCACCCTTCTCTCCCTGCCCCTCTTTTTCACCCTTCTCTCCCTGCCCCTCTTTTTCACCCTTCTCTCCCTGCCCCTCTCTCCCCCTTCTCTTTCTACCCTTCTCTCCCCCCTCGCCCTGCCCCTGCCAGGAGGCAGTGAGATCAGGAGGCCAGCGCACACTTCGCTCCCCCACACCCATCCTCAACTCTCTCTCGCCCTGCCCCTGCCCCTCTCCCTCAACTCTCTCTCGTCCCCCCACCACCCGTCCCACCACTCTCCCGCTGCACCATGCCTTTGCCACGAGGAGCCAGCCCCCGAGGAGGCAGAGGGATCAGCTAGAGACCAGCACAAGTCCCAATACGCGCAAATTACCAACGTGGGGCTGTCGCTCTATTTACCCCCTGTCCTATCCCCTCACCCCGCCCTGTCCTATCCCCTCACCCCGCCCTGTCCTATCCCCTCACCCCGCCCTGTCCTATCCCCTCACCCCGCCCTGTCCTATCCCCTCACCCCGCCCTGTCCTATCCCCTCACCCCGCCCTGTCCTATCCCCTCACCCCGCCCTGTCCCATCCCCTCACCCCGCCCTGTCCTATCCCCTCACCCCGCCCTGTCCTATCCCCTCACCCCGCCCTGTCCTATCCCCTCACCCCGCCCTGTCCTATCCCCTCACCCCGCCCTGTCCTATCCCCTCACCCCGCCCTGTCCTATCCCCCCACCCCGCCCTGTCCTATCCCCTCACCCCGCCCTGTCCTATCCCCTCGCCCCGCCCTGTCCTATCCCCCCACCCCGCCCTGTACTATCCCCTCACCCCGCCCTGTCCTATCCCCTCACCCCGCCCTGTCCTATCCCCTCACCCCGCCCTGTCCCAGGCGAGCACGACAAAGACCCAGACGAGCTGCATGGACGTGCTGCCTTCCCTTGCTCCTGCTTTCAGCATCTCTGTGGCTCAGATGAGCCACACTACGTCAAGGGGCCGCTTGCAGATTCAAAATGGAAACACCCAAGACTAGAGCAAAGGCTCAAGTTTGTATTGTATCCTGATACTGCATGCTTTTGTCATGTGTATTCACATCTCAAAATAGTGTGCATGGTTCTAAAAGGTTTACATCTTATGGCCTGATCCGGTGACTGTTCTATTGTAAAAAGGTTACAAAACTACCAAAGGCTAACATGACAGCAGCATGAACAGCAACTTGAGTACATTATCAATATGTTCAACCGGCAATGCGCCATTGAATGTCACAATGAGGGCACACAGTAGCCTCAAATGATTT